TTTAACCCTGCCTAGACTAGACACGAAAAACATTAGAAGATCAAAACTATTTTTCCAAGGCTCCTTGATTAAAACTTAGTGTTTTTAACTCAAGAAAGGGGGACACACAATTGATCTGTAAGGTGGCGGTGATTACCCCGCCCCCCCTCCTCAACATTCTACATTTTACAAGAATATATAGACATTATTTATAATACATTATATTTTATAAAAAAATTTTTTTTTATATTTCTATTTCGTATTCAATTCTGATATTATTCTTTGTTAATACCGTGTGTCTTAAAAAGCACACATTTTGTGTCATACAAAAGTTAACGCTTTTATATTTAGAAATGTAATAACCACATAAGGTTAGTGCGTCTTTAAAATTAACATAAACTATTTATCATGATTTAAACCCTATTGTTATTTCTCAATAAATGTAAAACGTCTCATAAAAAGTGAAAACAATGAATGCTATTTTTGTTACTTTCAGTTATAGCAGTGTCATTTTTCATTATTACGCAATCACTGTGGTTAGTAACAATATGTGTAATAAATTGGGACTTAACATTAGACATAAAGTATTTTTGCTTCTACATGGCGAAGTTTTAACCAGCAACAACGGTTAAAAAAAAACAAAAAACTTGCGTCTAGAAGGCTGAAATTTGCCATAATTGTCCATTTATACCGAAATCGACCCACATTTTTCTTCAATATCAAATCCTTAGGCCCACCCTGGTGAAGATGTAAACGAAACGTCGAATCCAACTTTGCAGGGTGAGAAAAACCGTCGCTCACATAGCCTACACACCAAATTTGGTCGCGATACGACATCACCTTTTGACGTTTCTTATGTCAAAACTAACTCTCACATTGAAACGTGTCGTACACGGTCAAGTTGGCCTTGGTCCAATCAATCATACGAAATTTCATTTATATCGGACGATTTTTTCGCCATTGATGATGGGGTTTTATAGTGCAAGAAACGTCGTCAAAATATCATGAAAACATGAGGCTCCTCGAACAACATGCAACAGTTTTATCATCGCTACTTATTTAGAAACCAATTCAACTACCCTGCTCGATTTATTATTCCTAAACTTCAATACAGATTATGCTTCAGCAGAGTTCAAGCTATATACTTACAAAATTATTAAAAATTAATCGATTTTAATCATAACCATTTTGTGTACAGGGTGGGCCAAATTCGACGCTTTTAAATAGAAACATCCTTTTCTATAGGAGTTAGACGAAAACTAATATCGGTGTCTGGAGCTCAATTTTTGTCAAAAACCTGATAGTGAAAACCGCATATCGATATCTGTTACCGTTTCAGAGTTACGGGGTGTTTTTCAAAAATATGCACTTTTAACAAATCGCTGAAACTTTTTTGTTATGGAAAATTTTGTATTTTGATGAAAACATTTCCAAAGCACCTTTTTACGTAGAATTTAATGGTTTAAGTATAATTTTTTTAAAATTAACAATTTAAAAATTATCAACAGAAAATTTGATTTTTTATATGGGACATCCTGTGTATTTTTAATTTATTGAAAATAATTTAAAATTACCTTTCCAAAAATATAACACACTTGATATTTTGCTCGATTCCTTTTCGAGATATAGAGTATATAAAAATTCGCCCGCTTTAAATGAGTAGGCTTTGAACGGCACCGGCTGTAATGCAAAAAAATCTAGCAGTGAGCATCAATTAAAACGAAAATAATATTTGCTATGAGAGATGCAGAATTTTATAACTATTTAAAATATATTTAATCAACATCAACATATTTAAACTATATCTAATAACAAGAAAAATAAATAGCAAACCACATGAGATTTTGCTATAGGTGTTCGACATATCGACCGTCTTCTGTTATGGACAGACGGGGCAGTTTTTGAACATCTCTCGCGGAATTCATTAACTCAGTGGGGGTGAAAGATACCCTCTCATAACTGCTAAGTATTTCTAATTCTTGTCTAGATTATACGGAAGAATAAGGAACCTTTATTTTTCCGCAAATATATCGATAGGATTAGATCCATGGGCAGGTCCATGATCCAGTCAGGCGACCTCGATGTCCAACGGCTGGAATCTTGGTTGGCTATTCAATTATTCTTGAAATTGGATGCAAAAATTTGCTGATAACTTCAGCAATCAGAGGCGGTGCGTCGTCTTGCTGGAAAAATATATTTTCGAGTTCCATTAAGGGCATATCATCAATAAAGGGTCCAAAGTCTACTAGTTAAAAGTGGCGAACTTTTAAAAATTCTGTATTTCGAAGGGGATTATAACAAAATATCAAGTGTGCTATATTTTTGGAAAGATAATTTTAAATTCTTTTCAGTTAATTAAAAATATAGAGGGTGTCCCAAATAAAAAATCAATTTTTCTGTTGATAACTATTAAATTATTAATTTTAAAAAAAATTATACTTAAACCATTAAATTCTAGGTAAAAAGGTGCTTTGGAAATGTTTTGATAGAAATACAAAATTTTCGATAGCAAAAAAGTTACAGCGATTTGTTAAAAATGCACATCTTTGAAAAACACCCCATAACTCCGAAACGGTAACAGATATTGATGTGCGGTTTTCACCATCATGTTTTTGATGAAAATTGAGTTCCAGCCACCGATATTAGTTTTCGTCTATCTCCTACAGAAAAGGGTGTTTCCATTTAAAAGCGTCGAATTTGACCCACCCTGTACATCTATATATTTTGAAAATTGCAGCATTTTTCTAAATGGTTTTCAATTTTGTTGGAAATATACTTCAACGTTTCTTTCACTAATGCGGAAATATTCGAAAAAAAAATTATGGTGAGCTGTGAGTTGTGGATATATTATAATATAATATGATATTTACCAAACTCTGGATCTCTGTTACCAGAAATCAACAGAAACATGAAGTTAGAATAAGCATAAGCAATTAAGTTAGCATTTATGGAAGAAACTCAGTCATATTCAAATCTAGAATGCCACTCTATCTCAAGAAGAAAACATGTGACCAAAGTGTACTACCAGTCATGACCTATGCATGCGAAACCTGGACTCTTAAAACGGACATCATAAGGAAACTGCAGGTCAAACAACGCTAAATGAAACGAAATATGCAGGGAATAACCAAGAGAGAGCGTAAAAAAATAGAGTGGATGCGACAAAAGACCCAGATAATAGATGTCATCCACAAAGTCAAATCCCTCAAGTGGCAACGTGCAGGACTGGAAAACTGGACAGAAGACTAGACAACTGGCAACAAGGACATACAACACACGGACTACAACAATTACATTATGATACCCACGAGGAATTAAGAGATCTAGAGGAAGACCAAACCTGAGATGGAACTATGACATTAGGAAATTAGCAAGGATAACTTGAATTATCACTAGCCAATAAAAACACACAATAGATCCACATGGGATCGCTTCATAATGCAAAATGGCATTCCCGCTTCCTGAAAGCGGTAGTTAATGGCAACTATCTGCTTCAATGGCGCAGATTCACAAAAATATAAGACCTGCTGCGAGATAAGCGGGCCACCGGAAAGCAGGCAGCCGGTGCACTATGGACGTACACTTAGAGCCGATACCGACATCCTCTATTATTGGACCACCATATGCATAGCCAAAAGAAGTTAAAATCGGGATTTTCGGACAGCGATTGCGATCGTTCGGTGGCATCTTAAGCGTGTGAACGATCCCTTGGAGGCATTTCCGAGGTGGACGGAACGATCGCGACCAAAGTGGGACACGGCTGGAGGAGCGCGAACCATCGAAATAAGCGATTGGTCATGGCAAGGGCCGCGGTCAGCGTTTCGTCTCGCCGATCCGATTACGGTTTTTACGAGTCGAGAGCGAACGGATTTTTTACGACGGAAAACGGCTCGTTAAGTTGGAAACACGTTCGCCGTCGAGGCGGTTTTTAGAACCCCGGTAAACGCCTCGACTATTGTTTGGTTTGGGTTAGGTTGGCCGCTCGAGGAATACGAAAATTCAGATCGACTTTAAATATACTTAGAATTGTTCAAAATTTCAAAATTCTATTATATGAGAAGGCTTATACAGCATATATTTCCAAAAGGATTTTTTATTATTAACTTTTTGAGAAAAAAAAATATTATTCACAAAAGACTTTGCTTGTTCTAAAATAATTATCCCATTTATACAGAATTGTAAGTTTAATGTATTTAAGATTGTAAGTTGTAAATTTTGGGTTCGTTGAAGGACTATTAGAGCCACAATTTAAAAATATTTTTACAAGATACAGAGTGTCAGAAATAAGTAAAAATATAGCTATATCTTTTTAAATAGAACATCCTGTATATTATTCTATTTTTAGGTTCTATGAGTGAAGTAAAGGTAAATTTGATTAAGGTTTATCACACTTAAACCATACCGTTTTTGAAATATTTTCAATTTTATAAAATTGCAGTAAAAATTTTAAGGCTTCATTTCTCCAAGTTTATCAAAGTTTTTAATACTAAATATTTACTGAAGTTTGTTTATTGACCAGATATTGTGTTGCAATAATAAACAAAATACTACCTTATACAGAGCGTCCAAAAATTTATAATAAATAATTACTAGCTTTAAACGGCAATAACATGTTTAATTTAAATGGAACACCATGTATATTTTACGTGAATCAAATGCACAATTTAATTATCTATCAAATTGTGTTATACCATTTTTCACCTATCTCTCTTCAAGTTTTTGTTAGGGTTACGACGCTCCCTTCTTAACCTCCGATCGTTACCACTTTTCCTGACGCGTCTCACATGAGACACGGCTTTAAATTTTTACTCCCATCGCGCGTAAAGAAGTTCCACTTCAACAATAGACATTTTTCCTATTCATAGACAGATTTCCCAGACATTCTATTCCTAGACTTGTATTCGATCATTATTAATTTTTCAAAATTAGTATTTGTTTTAACGTATAATTTGGATATACCATTCGAATTAGGTACTGTTCATCAGAAAAACCTTTGGTTTTATGAGAAGTTCAATACTCACTTAAAGAAGTCCGTCCGGCAGAACAACTTGCTCTCCCTACTAAAGCACTTATCCGTGAGCGGGGCCTGGCAGTCGAAACAGCGAACGCAGTCCGCATGCCACGCTCGTTCCAAGACATTTAGCAGGAATTTGTCCAGGATCGGCTTGTCGCAAGCGGCGCATGCGATAAGCATTCCTGCGGCCGGTTCGCACCTCCCTAAAACAGAAAAGATTATTACAATTATTTTTTTCTTCGTTACTTTTACAGTTATATCCGCCAGGTCGAGCACAGCCCTACTTGACGTAAAAAGCTGATTTTTGGAAAACAGATTGACTTACTGGTGTAGAGGTTCGTTAAGAAGGGATTTTTCGAAACTCGAATTCTAAGGGGGTGAAACTAGCGATGGGAACTGTCGAATGAATTAGACTATCGAATGGTTAATGAATGAATGATTTCAACTATCGAATGGTTTTATTCGAATAAAATCATTCATTCATTTGTATACTAAAGCATATGTGACAACCTCGCCGTGCGACTAAATGGTTATCGTTGAGCCACGACTATCGAATGCTTTTGATAAATGAAATTTAGTATTCGTTTGATTTTTGTATGCGTCAGTGCATTATTAGTAGTAGTGGGAACTATCGAATGAATACTATCGAAACATTCGATAGTTGCAATTCATTCGAATAATTCGATAGTTAGTAAGAAAACATTCGTTGAAAACTATTCGAATAAAAATTATCGAATAGATCCGTCATCTGCCTTGAAATATTGTATTCTAGTAATTCGGCAGCAAAAACCATTCATTTATAAAATTCATTCATTTATAAAATTCATTCATTTATAAAATTCATTCATTTATAAAATTCATTCATTTATAAAATTCATTCATTTATAAAATTCATTCATTTGTAAAATTCATTCATTTATAAAATTCATTCATTTATGAAATTCATTTATTCGTCAGGATCGATTATAATAAAATATTAACTGAATTTTAGTTGTCGCCCGGCGACGTAGGTTTCCGAGAAAGCGGTCGGTGGCAATGCTATGAAAGAAGCCGGCATCTTTGATTTTTGCGGAGTCATATATAGATAAGGACACATTATTTTTTTATTGAGGTGCTAGTATTTACACAGAAAATACATTATGAAGGGCGCTGTTGCCATATTTTTGTATTAGTTGATATTAGCAAAGAATATTATTGTTTGGCTTTAGTTAGTTAGGGATAGTATGTCTATATATTCTGAATTTTTTTATTAATATTCTGTTGTTACACTGCAATAATACTTGTTATTTTGGATGTAGGAAAATTATTTTGAATGTTTTTAAGCAAAGACTGGTTTAATAAATAATAATAACAGTAATAATTTGTTATACCTATTAACAACAAAATTTAAAATCATTTAATATAAATATTTTTTTTAAGTAGTAGCAAAATATAAACAACAAATTAGATGTCAAAATTATTTATATTAGATCCTATTTAAAAATAATATAGTCTCTAATTTTTTTGGCAACGTTGGTTTATTAAATAATAATAATTACAGAACTAATTTGTTATATTAACAACAAATTTTAAAATCATGAAATATAAACATTTACTAATTTTCTAAGCAAGCGGTGTAATGGAAGGAAAATATAAATAAAAAATTAGAAATCAAAATTATTTATATTACTATTTAAAAATTATATTTACTTTTACTGGCATTTACTTTAAAAAATAAATGAAATATTTCTTCGCAAAAAACTACATGTAAGAGAATTAGCATAAACAAAATACAAACATCGTTAACTTTTTTTTTAAATTGGCACGTGTAAAATTTTCATTTTAGTTTTCTCACCCCATAGTTTGAGTTCGATAACCATTTATTTAACCACATTACTTAAATATAATTATTAAGTTCCAACTAATTCATAGGTATTATTAAAACATCTAAAATACAAATATGTATTTTTAAATTAATTGTAAGTTCATCTCATCTCTCTTAAAAATTGCTACTTCCCAAAATTTCCCATTAAAAAATAGACCATATACCATATAAAATTAAATAATTGAAAGATCGGACTACGGAAAACCACACAAATTATCGAAAAAATTTTGACCACCTGCACATGCACACAATCGTCAATAAATAAAATTAAAAAATAACTACTATTTTAGTATTTTAACTATTTTAATAAACGCAAAAATAGCACAGTATTTATACGGCGAAGTTATAAAAATTTGGAAGAACCAATAATGCACTGACGCATACAAAAATCAAACGAATACTAAATTTCATTTATCAAAAGCATTCGATAGTCGTGGCTCAACGATAACCATTTAGTCGCACGGCGAGGTTGTCACATATGCTTTAGTTTACAAATGAATGAATGATTTTATTCGAATAAAACCATTCGATAGTTGAAATCATTCATTCATTAACCATTCGATAGTCTAATTCATTCGATAGTTCCCATCGCTAATTATTAGTTCTTCCAAATTTTTATAACTTCGCCGTATAAATACTGTGCTATTTTTGCGTTTATTAAAATAGTTAAAATAAATGAAAAAAAATTTGTGTGGTTTTCCGTAGTCCGATCTTTCAATTATTTAATTTTATATGGTATATGGTCTATTTTTTAATGGGAAATTTTGAGAAGTAGCAATTTTTAAGAGAGATGGGATGAACTTACAATTAATTTTAAAAATACATATTTGTATTTTAGATGTTTTAATAATATGAATTAGTTGAACTTAATAATCATATTTAAGTAATGTGGTTAAGTAAATGTGCGGTTATCGAACTCAAACTATGGGGTGAGAAAATTAAAATTAAAGTTTTACACTTGCCAATTTAAAAAAAAAGTTAACGATGTTTGTATTGTGTTTATGCTAATTCTCTTACATGTAGTTTTTATGAAGAGAAATATTTCATTTACTTTTAAAGTAAATGCCAGTAAAAGTAAATATAATTTTTAAATAGTAATATAAAGCACCTAATATAAATAATTTTGATTTCTAATTTTTTATTTATATTTTCCTTCCATTACACTGCATGCTTAGAAAATTAATAAATGTTTATATTTCATGATTTTAAAATTTGTTGTTAATATAACAAATTAGTTCTGTAATTATTATTATTTAATAAACCAACGTTGCCATTTAGAGACTATATTATTTTTAAATAGGATCTAATATAAATAATTTTGACATCTAATTTGTTGTTTATATTTTGCTACTGCTTAAAAAAAATATTTATATTAAATGATTTTAAATTTTGTTGTTAATAGGTATAACAAATTATTACTGTTATTATTATTTGTTAAACCAGTTTTTGCTTAAAAACATTAAAAATAATTTTCCTACATCCAAAATAACAAGTATTATTGCAGTGTAACAACAGAATATTAATAAAAAAAATGCAGCATGTATAGACATACTATCCCTAACTAACTAAAGCCAAACAATAATATCCGGTGCTATTTTCTGTGTAAATACTAGCACCTCAATAAAAAAAATAATGTGTCCTTATCTATATCTGACTCCGCAAAAAATCAAAGATGCCGGCTTTTTTCATAGCATTGCCACCGACCGCTGTCGGGTCCCTCGGAAAGAAACCTACGTCGCCGGGCGACAACTAAAATTCAGTTAATATTTTATTATAATCGATCCTGACGAATAAATGAATTTCATAAATGAATGAATTTTATAAATGAATGGTTTTTGCTGCCGAATTACTAGAATACAATATTTCTAGGCAGATGACGGATCTATTCGATAATTTTTATTCGAATAGTTTTCAACGAATGTTTTCTTACTAACTATCGAATTATTCGAATGAATTGCAACTATCGAATGTTTCGATAGTATTCATTCGATAGTTCCCACTACTAGGTGAAACTATCCCTCAAATATTAAAATATTTTTTATTTAAAAACCGGTGAGTTTTTCGGAAAAACTCTTAAACACGTATATTTTATTTTGTTGTTTTATATATTTTAAGATTTTTTATAAATTTATACAGGGTGTTTCATAAAATATGACCATTGAGTAATCACGATTCTGCTTAAACTGCTTGAGGTTTAAAGCTGATTTTTGGCAAACGGATTGACTGTGGGGTGTAGAGGTTCGAAAAGGAGGGGTTTCTTGAATCTCAAATTCCAAGAGGGGAAAACGCCCCTCAAATATTACAATATTTATTATTTAAAAAACGGTTAGTCTTTCGGGAAAACGCTTGAATAAGCATAATTTATTTGGTTTTTTACATATCTTGAAATTTTTTAAAAAATCATACAGGGTGTTCCAAGTTATATAATAATATCACCATATTGTTTTTTTTTATGCTGACATAAATGTGAGAAAATTTTATCCAGTTTGTATGTTAATGGAAATTCTTGCTTTGCTTTATCATCACCATTACAAATGATTAATTCGACGCGAACGAAGTCGCTGGTACACGATAGTTACTATATAAAATGATATTCTATTATGATTAAAAAAATACAAGGGAACTGTTTACATTTACTTAGTATAATCGAGGTAGTAGATTATTCTTTTATAATTATGGTGCTTTGCAATTGCCAAGTCAATATAATTGTAACAAAAATAAAGATGACTAATATTGATATAACAATTTATAACAAAATTTTTGAATATGTGCTTAAAGAGAGACTAAATAAAATAAACTGACTTGGTTTAACATAGTGTTGCACAAGACAAGAATTCTTGTCTTGAGATTCAAGACAAGACATTTTCCAAGTCTTGTATTGCAGATTTCTTGAATGACACAGTCTTGTCTTGTCTTGCAAGACTCTTAAAATTTCTTGTTTTGAAAAATTTTACATTCTAACAAAAAGGTAATAATATTTCTATATTTTATGTCATAAAAAGAAAGGAAAGCATCGTATACAAAATGTAATACGGAAAAATGAACAACAACGATGCTAATTTTGTCAAAAAAAATCTTAACGGACCGCAAACGAACTACGTCAACTCGCCCGTTTGACGAAACAGGAGCCTTTACCAAATAAAAGCTGAATATGAATAAGTAAGGTTAAGTTCTTTTTTAATTCTAGGTGTTAATTCTTGTTAGTTTATTATGTTCTATTTTGGTTACTCGTTTGTTACTTTTATTTTTTATGGTATTTATTTGATTTTTTTACTATGAAGATTGGTTGGAAAAGTTTGGACACAGGGTGTACAGAAAGGTCATGCTAGAGTGTACTAT